AGGCGGGTCTCGAACCCACAGGCTCAGGCAATCCACTCACCTCGGCCTCCCAAAGTGCTGGGATTACAGGCTGAGCCACCGAGCCTGGCCCCCTTTTTTTGTTTTTTGAGTAGGAGTCTCACTTTTTCGCCCAGGCTGGAATGCAGTGGCACGCTCACAGCCACCACAGCCTCGACCTGCTGGGCTCCAGCGATCCCTCCGCCTCAGTCTTCCAAGTAGCTGGAGTCACAGGCACGTGCCACCATGTCTGGATGATTTTTTTTTAAATTTATTGTGGGGATGAGGTCTCGCCATGTGGCCCAGGCTGGTCTCGAACCCCTGAGCTCAGGTAATCCTTTCGCCTCTGCCTCCCAAAGTGCTGAGATTACAGGCATGAGCCACCGCGCCTGGCTTATTTTCTTTACCTTGAACTTGATGTTGTTACTGATGAGCTGGTTGCCCTTCATGAACTCCTTCTCATTGCCCCGGTTCTCTGTGACTACCGGGAAGGCGTGGTGGACCGTGGTGCGCAGGATGCTGACCAGAGACTGGATGCGGGTGTGTGGGTAGACGTAGGTCAGGTTGGGCTCCATGATGTCACTGGCTCTCAACCTGGGTGCAGAAGAGAAGCCACCAGACTCGTGACAACACCCACAGGCCCTGTTGGTATCCATCACTGTCTGGACATGCAGGGCCTCGTTTCTGAATCATCCCCTACACATTCCTTGAACCTAGCACCTTCTTGTGTACTTCTGTCCCCTCCACACACACTGTTCCCCAGGCTTGGAACACCCTTCCCTGCTCTGTCATACTGGTGAGTCTCTGTTTACCTTCGACTCAACACTGACATTTCCTCACTAGGAGGCCCATCTGCTTGCCCAGGGGGTTGGCCATCCCCTCTCGGTGCTCTGTGTACAGTCCGCGTATGGAAACTGAATCTCTCATTACACTGCTAGTATTTAAAAAACAAGGTTCGGATCCCTTTTAGGCCAGGGACAACAAACCATGGCTCACAGACCATAGCCAGCCACACTCACTGCTCTCCTGCTAAAACGGCAGAGTGGCTGTGGCTATGGGGCTGTATGACCCCAAAGCTGGAAATATTCTTCTATCCGGTCCTTTACAGAACAGGCTTGCCCTGGGACTGGCCTAGAAAGGCTTTGCCCAACAGCCAGACGTGGGAAGCCCTACATCTTTGTGGCTTATCAGGGGTGTTTTGAGGAGATTTTGCCCAGAATAATCACTGCGGCCAGCAGGACATTCTATTAGGCACGTGTGTGAACAAGTTAGTTCTCACTCCTGGGGTGTGGAGTGGTCTCAATCAATCAATCACATCACAAATTTGACCCGGAGCCCTCATTTCCTATCTAACCAGAATGCCATGGGAGGAAAACACATCCGCAAAGCAACCGTGCCTCCCTCAGCACCGCCGTGCCCGTGTCCCCAGCTCCACCCCTGAAGCTCCCAGCCTCCTCGAGTGGCTCAACATTGCCAAACACGCCCAGGACAAACGAGCTGCTCCTTCCACCACAGACACATATGAGCTATTGTTTCCCACTCCACAGGACTCGAAGCTGATAAATTCTGAAACGAGGATGTGAGAAACCACAGCCTTACTTGTCCATCTCTACCTCCGTTTCCCACTCCAGGAGCGGCACGCCACGCAGGCCCACATGGATGTCGTAAATGCCCTTGTTGAAGAAGTCCCCTGTCCACTTGGCCACCTGAAATCCAAAGCCAAGACTTACGGTGAGGCTCTCAGGGGTGAACCTGGCCATGAGCCTGACCCAGGCCTGGAGGGAGGGGCTCACCATCAGAGTGATCATGATGGGAAGCCCGTAGGTGATCTCGTTGGTGGACTCGATCAGGATGACTGTGAGGCTGATGGTCATTCTGACAATCCCACCCAGGAAAGCTGCAGCACCAATCAGGGCAAAGGTCCCCGAGTAGATGTGGCCCAGTCCAATGTAGCTGGAGAAGGAAAAGGCCAAGAACGTGGCTCAGAATCACACAGGTAGGCTGGGAGAAGCTTACACTCGTGCACACGCACACACACACACAGAGTACCTTTTCAGGACATTGGCAACTAAACGTCCAAAGGCAGCTCCACACAGCAGAGAGGGCACAAAAAGGCCACTTGGAACAGAAGTGCCATATGTCCAACACGCAAGCAGGAAATAGAGGATGAAGAACAAGGCCAGGGTGATGGGGCTGAAAGTCCCTGGAAGGTGAGAACCAAGCTGAGTTGCATACCGGTGCCTGCCAAGGCCCCCAGCCCTCCCAGGACTTCCACAGCCCAACTGGCTCCCCTTTCGATGCACAGGCAGAAGCCGACCTTCTGCCAGGTGGGCACCACACAGGAGAGAACCTGCTTTCACTCAGAGTGAAGGGTAGGATCGGCCTAAGCACCACCTGGGAATGGGTTCAACATGGACACCTACCGTCTTGGTGGAAGAGCTGCAGGATGGCGGACTCCTGGGGGTTGAAGAAGAGTGTGGCCATGTCGTTGTAGGTATCGTTGGGACAAAAAAAGGTCTTGATACTTGAATTCACATCTTCTGATGCGACCTAAGAAGCAGGAGTCAGAAAGTCAGGACCAGGGCACTGAACTAGAGGCTTCAAGTGGCATGTCTCCAAGGTGGCTGGACCCTTTCCCTGTACGTTAAACAGGCGGCAAATAGCCAACCTGCACCAACAGCAGCAGCCAGCCATGCCAGTGTAGTTTTGCATCCTGAATGCAGAGAGAATCAGAATGAGGGCCCTTGTTCATCCACACTCATCATGAAACTGTCACTACAACTGCAATTCCCCACGGATTGCTCTGCTTCCGCTCCTGGGGCTCATTTTGTAAGGTATGCTGCTAGAAGCCTGGCCTGAGGGCCCAAGGACTGGGGGAAGATGAGGCCGGCGAGAGAAGTGACTGGGAAGTAACAGGCGTCTGGAGGAGGGTCCGTGGCCCTGCTTGACCTAAAGCCCCAGACTTTGGTTGCAAAGGAAAAAAGCCACCTCCACTGAGGCCTGGAGCGCACGCGCAGTGACCCCGGCAGCGCCTCTTTCCAGGCCCCACCTGGTAGACAGAGCCCACGCTGGGCAAGAGGTTATTTCTCCACACTTCAGCACTCTTTTTCTTGCCGCATTTGGTGTGGGAAGACGAGTTCTACTGACTCATGGAGTGGGGTGTTCCGAGCATGACGCGCCTCACCTAGCTGAGCGTGCGCAGCAGCGTGAGGGATGGGCCTCCCCCCTGCCACTGTGTCTGCTAACTGGGGTTAGGACATGGGCTTCCCTGGATTCAATTCTACTGACAGTGCTGCAGAGAGGCCCTTGTGTGGACTTTATCAGGGCACTAGGGAACTTTGGTTGGTCCTACCAGGTGAACCTGCTGGGCAATTCTGCCGGATGCGGGCAGCCTGGGGAAGGGGCAGCGCCCCCTGCTGGCAGAACCTGGCAAAAAAGCAACGTGTGGAGCAGGGAGCAGTGACGAGCTGAGCTGACTGCTGCATAGTCAACACGTGCAGCGTTTCCCATTGTGCCTGGCTTGCAGTTCCCAAACTTCTAAACTGTCTGGAGGAACATCAGTCCTGAAGCCTCTCTGGAAATAGTCCTGCGGTCGCTACATTGAGCAGCATTTTAGCAATTCTTGGAAACCAGTGAGTCTGCCAGAGTACAGGCTCCAAAACCCGACGGCTTTAACTCAGTCACTCTCTTGTGACCTTGGGTTTCCTTCTCTATAAAATGGGAATAATACCTACCCTCATGCTACATATTACTAACTAAAGGATCTTGGTCAAGACCTCACTTTGCCTCAGTTTTTCCACCTGTAAAATGGGGATAATGCTCCTAGCTAGCCAGCATGGTGGTGGTAAGGATGAAATGAGATCATGTATGTCAAGTGCTCAGTGGAATGTCTGGCACACAGTTAACAAGCCAAGCATTAGTAACACTGGAATAAAGGCCCCAGGAAGTCCTGTACTGGAGAAATTTACTTAATTCTGGTAAATCCACTTGACCATGGAATCCTTTTTTGTTCGTTTTGAATCATAAACACCAATGTTCCACAACAGAGTACAGTGTGAAAAAAAATCTGGCTGGTAATGAGCTGGCCTTGAAAGTAACTAGTAATTAAGCACCAGCATACTTTTCCAAAAGAGGCAGAGAGTATATGCTTTAGGCTTTGCTGGTGGGTATAATCTCTGTGGCATCTTCTTTCTTTCCCTCAACCCTTTAAAAATAAATCAACTGTTCTCAGGTTTGGGGTTTTATAAAAACAAGCAGTTGCTGCTGGGCGTGGTGGCTCATGCCTGTAATCCTAGCACTTTGGGAGGTGGATGCAAGAGGACTGCCTGAGCCCAGGGGTTCGAGACCAACCTAGGCAACTTGACGAGACCTCATCTCTACAATAAAAAAAGAAAAAAAAATTAGCCAGGCGTGGTGGCACGTGCCTGTGGTTCCAGTTACTTGGAAGGCTGAAGTGGAAGGATCGCCTGAGTACAGCAGGTCAAGGCTGCAGTGGCCGTGAGCACACCACTGCACTCCAGCCTGGGTGACAGAGTGAGACTCCAACTCAAAAAAAAAAATTGTATTATTAACTATTTTTCCCTGAATGTTTTCAAGCCCCAGTTGGTTGACTCCACGGATATGGGACTCATGATGGGGAGGGCTGCCTGTACTTAGAGAACACTCACTGTCTCCACCCAAGGGGCCAGAACCACATGCCTGGCTGACCCACCAAACACAAGTCTAGCTCTCAGAGCCCCCCTGGGTGGGGAGGGAGACTGTGAAACACAGTCCTGCTCCTTAGAGAAAGGTTCTAGGAAATACCCCCTGCCCCTAAGAAGGGAACAGAAGAAATGCAGAGGGGATGCATGCCAGTCATGAACTAAACCCAGTAAGAAAACCAGAAGATAGCCGGGCTCGGTGGCTCAGCCTGTAATCCCGCACCTTTGGGAGGCTGAGGTGAGTGGATTGCCTGAGCCCGCGAGTTCGAGACCCGCCTGGGCAGCGAGACCTCATCTCTACAGTAAATCAAAAAATCAGCTGGGCGTGGTAGCGCATGCCTGTAATTCCGGCTACTTGGAAGGCTAAGGTGGAAGGATCGCCGGAGCCCAGCAGGCGAGGCTGCGGTGGCCGGGAGCGGCCACTGCACCCCAGTCTGGACGACCGAGTGAGACTCCAACTCAAAAAAAAAAAAAGAAAAGAAAACCAGAAGGTGCCAGAGAGTGAGCAACGTCCTGGCGCAAACACTCCTTTCTTCCCACCTTAAAAGTGACCCTAGGTCGGGCGCAGTGGCTCATACCTATAATTCCAGTACTTGGGAGGACAAGGTGAGAAGATTGCCTGAGCCCAGGGGTGTGAGACCAGCCTGGGCAACTTGGCAAGACCTCATCTCTACAATAAATCAAGAAAAATTAGCTGGACATGATGGTGCATGCCTCTAGTTCCAGCTACTTGGAAGGCCGAGGCAGAAGGATCTCCTGAGCCCAGCAGATCGAGGCTACAGTGGCCGTGAGTGTGCCACTGCCCTCCAGCCTGGGGACAGAGTGTGACTTTGATTAAAAAAAAAAAAAGAAATTAAAACAAAAATAGTGACCCTCACAGCCACAGAGGTGAGGCGGAGGGTGGTGGGCCTCCGAACCGGATATCCCCCTTAGGCATGAGGAGATGGAAGGGTAACTGGACCCTGGAGAAGTGAGCAGTCAGCTTCCCGAGCTGCTGCTCCCAATGCGTTCTGCTCAGCAGACAGGAGTTCCCTTTGTGATACCAGGGCTGATCACAGAAGTGGGACAGACATCTGACAGCATCCCCTCTCAGGTCAAAAGACGGCCACAGATTCCTGCATCTCTCAGCAGTGCTATAGGGGTGTGAAGGATGAACCCAACATATCTATTGGCTCCCCAGAGGCAAGTCATATATTTCTGGATTCTTCATGGGTATAGAGTAAAAGTAGTAGGTGCACTGGGGTTACCTGGAGCTGGAATGAGTCATTACCAATTTGACTCGAAGAAGACATCTGTCGGCATTCTCCTAACACCATTGAGGCCACAAACACCACCACGGTGGTCACCAGAGACACCAAGAGGCTCTCTAAGACCCTAAGAAGCAACGCACCAGTTATAATGCAGCAGAAAGAAGCTCTGGTCCTAGGAGCTCAAAATACAACCCTGCCACCCCCGTCCCAATTTCCCAAAAAGCAGTCACAGCAGCCCTGGACAGTCAAGTGTGCAGAACTGATAAGTGATGTGCTGTATTCCAGAAACTGATACTACAAAGTAGACAGCCAGTTAGGTGGGCTGCTGCGTCCACATCATCTCCCTCTGAGGACTGAGATAGCCTTCCATGAGAAGCCCTTGGTGAGAAGTCTCACGAGAGCAAGCCCCTCAGTAGGGCCACACTGACCCTCCAGTCTCTGTCACGTGTCCTAGTAACGAGTGAGGACAGTCTGGGATTCAACTCGCAACTGTGACATAACTTAAGCTCAGACTCAGCCTTATGGCCTGCCTGACAAGCAGAGCAGACGGATGGCCCTGTCAGCACTCTCAGGCTTAGACGAGAGATCTAAGCCAGCGTGGGAGCAGAGTCTGCTCCTTGGGGGAGAGGGCCCAACCCTCATCGAGCCAGGGAGCCACAGCAGGCGGGGGAGGCAACTGTGCAGATACCTGACGAGCTTAGGTTTCGGGTGCACGTTTCGCATCCGGTACTTTGCAAGCCTCTTGTTCAGACAGTTGAATGTGGCTCCCAGGAGGCCCCCAATGACCCCCATCACGACGAAGAAACCCAAATCCATAGCTGTCCAGAGATGACATTTTTTATCAGAGTCAGAGCACTGAGAGAAGGGGAAAGGGAGAGAGAGAGAAAAACCACAGCAGCCATGAGAGCAGGAAGAGACAGAAGCGAAGACAGAAATAAGAGCTGGCTGGCTTCCCTCCTGTGAGCGCCAAGGGCGCCTGGGAGAGGCTGGGGGAGGCCAGAAGCTGTACCTACCCTCTGCTTGCTTCTCGCTGGCCCTCCACTTTGAGTACATTTTCATGGGTCGAGTAAGAAATCCTGAGGGCAAGGACCAGACATACCTTAAACTCGCCGAAGTTCAGCAGTCCAGGGAGTTGGAAGGAGCCCCAGCTTCCAAACTGAATCCCAGAACGGAAGAAGTTGAGGGTAAAGGTGGCAGACATGGAACAAAAGAGCTGGGGGACAGGTGACAAAGACAGGAAGGTTCAACAGCAGCAGGTCCCAGCCTCCCTTCCTCTTGAGACCCACAGCTCTGTGCGGAGACCTGCAGAACTGACGTTGGGCACAGTGACCTGGGAACCACTGCAGCAGACACACCCCAAGTTTGGCTGATTTTAATCAGGCTCTAAGCTGTCACTCTTCAAGCAGTCTGCTATCAGGGCCTATTTCGGACGAGATGCTGCACCCAAAAGGGTAAACTCAAAGGGAAGGACACTCCATGGAAGTGGGAGCTGCTCAAGGCGAGGCTGGATCACTCCTGTTTCACGACCACAGCCAGCTTCGTGCTCTCATGGTGGGTGGGTCACCGAGAGGGGACAGCAGCAGACTGATGTGGACTTACTTCTTGGTGGTGGGAAGGGTACTGACTTGCACAGCAGAGAAAGTCCAGAGTTTGGAGGTTACGGGCACCAGAGGAAAGGAATTTCCGATCCAGGCAACCCTCCCAGTCTCATCAAAACTACTGTCCGGGCCGGGCGCGGTGGCTCAAGCCTGTAATCCCAGCACTTTGGGAGGCAGAAGTGAGAGGACTACCTGAGCTCTTGAGTTTGAGACCAGTCTGGGCAACTTGGTGAGACCTCATCTCTACAATAAAACAAAAAATCAGCCGGGCATAGTAGTATGCACCTGTAGTTCCAGCTACTTGGAAGGCTGAGGCGGAAGAATCACCTAAGCCCAGCAGGTAGCGGTTGCCATAAGCATGCCACTGCACTCTAGCCTGGGTGATAGCTCAAAAAAAAACTCCTAAAAAACTACTGTCTAATGCATTGTGTGGGGCGCCCAGTTTAACTTTGGGGGTATGGTTAAGCCCAGGAGATACTTGTCCCTGAAGGTTCTCCTCACCACTTTCCAGGTGAGCCCTTGGTTCCAGAAGGATGAGCCCTCTTCCAGACTGAACAAGGTACCCCCAATCGGGGCCCCGAAAGCTGCAGCAACTCCAGCAGCTGCCCCGGCTGACACAAAGTCTCGCTTGTCTCTGTGAAGGGAAGAGACAGATGGTTACCCAACAAAGAGTCCTCAGGCCACAGGAGGAAGTTTCTCACTCCCTATCCACAAACAGTTCCTCAAAGAACCTATGGACAGTCAGTCAGGGACCACAAAAGGCCAGGTCCCTGGTGAGGCAGCCTCAGCAGCGTCACTCACTCGAGCCAGACGCTCTCTGCACACGTCCCCTCAGGTGTGGCAGCTCCTCACCTGGGAGCAGGAGCTCGCTGACTGCTCCCTGAGGTCTGTTTACTCTGTGATCACTGCATCTCAGTCCCCTGTTCAGGGGCAGATCAAAGATCACTGCAGTCACTGTTACACCACATTCCCACCAGATCTTCCTTCCAGAAAACCAGAGCATCACCGAATACAAAGGAGAGATATGGGCCATACTCTGAACCAGGGTTCTGATTCTAAGGGCCTTACGAGGTGCACAGGTCAGTAACACACACTCCAACAGGGCCAAAAAAATCTAATGAAAAAAGCACCCTCCAAGCCAGGATGGCAGCTGACCGTGAAAATCATTTGGAAATGCAAAATGCCTTCCTGAGAAGGTATCTGCCTGCGGCCTTTCTTGACTGGGCTGTCAATTAGGATCACCTTCATTTGCCTGAGATGCTTGCAGGCCTTATGGCATGACAAAATTACCATCATGACGCCAGTTTGGTCCTTTGCTTCTCTTCTAATTTTTAGAAGAATAATTCAAAGCCCACCTCCTTTTCTGACAGCTGTGTTTTGCACGCAGCCTTCCTAGCAGGGGACACTCACAGTCAGGATAGAGCAAGTATTGGGTTTGACTGGCAGTAAGTACGTTAACATTTTGTTTTTTCAAAAAAACCAAATTCTAACCTTTCCATACCTGTCGCTTCGGAAATAGGGGAAGTTAAACTGGATCTTCCGTAAGGAGACGCTCTGAAACTAAAACAAGAGAAGTTGGTCAGGGGACCAAAGGCCAAAGCCGTAGAATCCATAGCACTCGGGAGGCCCTTTGCTTGAGCACACCTGGGAAGGTGTGCTGCCAGAAGGAAGAGTCCACAGGAGCAAGTTGGAAGAAAAGCAGTTACCCCTTTGGGAGGAACTGATCTTTCCTGCCACCAGGTCTCTAGACCCTTCTGAAATCCATTTTGTGCGCAGTCACCAAGCCAGAAATACAAAGGGGAACCATGGAGGCAAGAGCTTGGGGAACCGAGAGCTGCCGGGGAAGATCAGGTCAGCTCTGCTCAGCAGAGGCCAGTGGGGAAGGGCCTGAGAGCCACCTCTCACAGGCTGCTCCACATCTCGCGTCATGCCCACTCCATGCCCAACCTCCTTCCACCTTCAACTCACTTCCACGAGATTTAGTACTTGAGATGTCAGGGAGAGACCTGGAGACGGGTTCTGGAAGGAAAAATCCTCCCTCCGTCACCTCAACAACTCACAGGCCCCACAACTCCCTCCCTTCAGGACAGGAAAGGATGTGACCATCATTGATGGCTCACAGGAACTGCCTTCTCCAACCTACAGCCCAGGAATCTAGAATAGCCCTTAAGAAGGGGAGCTCTGGAGTCCTGGGCTAGTTCCTCAACCTCTCTAAGCCTCAGTTTCCCCATTTGAGAATGAGGGTGGTAATCACAACCAATCACTTCAGGTGGCTTAAAAGAAGGAAGAAGCTGCTATGCGCAGTCTGGCACGCAGCCCACCTGACGAGCAGCTGAAATCAGGACTGCCCCATGCCAGCTGGAGTCAGTATGGAACTGCACCCAAAGCCACCTCAGTCAATGCTCTAAGCCTCCTGGGATTTGGTAGCACTGAGATGATTCACCAAGCCACCCCAGATGAAGCGCTTGGCAACGGCCATGGAAGCATCAGGCAACTGCCACTTGTCTATGTCTGGCTCTTGCTCTTAAGACTCAGCAGGGAAGCTGGGCTCAGTGGCTCAGCCTGTAATCCCGTGCCTTGGGAGGCTGAGGTGAGTGGATTGCCTGAACCTTCGGGTTCGAGACCCGCCTGGGCAACTTGGTGAGACCTCATCTCTACAATAAATCAAAA